GCCCCAAACTGTACGTACAAACCTACTAGCTAGCTGATGGGTAAATAAATTAACAGGTCACTATAGCAGGTAATTACCCTATTAACAACGTTACTTCATTAATTAAAACGCGACATTATTGTTTGATACTATTTGGCTGTTTAACAAAGCACCCATGCATGACTAAACAAAATGTTACGTAGGCAAGGTATCCACCTGCCTATCTCTATCCTATTTACTATAATATCATGTTACATAAGATGAAACTTAATCAAAAGAACATTCGACATTGACCCTAACTGCCCTTCAAGTCCACAACATGGTTAACGTAGTACGGCTACTTCTAAAGTTTCTGCAAACCGTATCCTGCGCTAGATTGAGCTAGAAAGTCTTTAACAATAGGCTCAAATATCATAGGTTTAACGAAGATAAAACTTATAAAGTATCTTAAAAAAAATGTTTATTGCCAATAAATCTTAATACAAAATATTCTTATAACTAGCGGCTTCTGCACTAAGCATAGCTTGTATCGCCGTCGTATCTCCACGAACTTTAATTACCTACCAATTTAAACTACTCAGGGCCTACATGTACTTAAGTTTCTAAAATTGACTCAGCACTTTCACTCACTTACCTAGAAGGCCTATTCAAAAGTTACGTATTGTCTAATCTATATTTCGGTACTAGTTTCAAATGATGGCCATTGGGTTGGGCACCGTGCTTCGTTGGAGGAGGGAGAGGTCATTGGCCGTTGCCATGTGGGCTCCACGAAAAAGTGTAACAGGAATGAATAAACCTGTTACCATTACTTTACTTTACAGTGATCGGTGAAATTAAAATATACCTACTGGTGCTTTGACCCAAAAAAAAAGAGAAAGAGCAATGATGGTTGGTTGGTTTAACTAAAACTTAAACTACAATTAAACCTAGGTAAAGATTAGCGATCCATTAGAATAAAACTGATGATGATGAAGATGAAGAATATTACCCACACAACAACAACTGAAACTTAAAGACATAAAAAGCAAAAATTAAATTGGTATGTAAGTGTGGTAACCTAAATTCCCGATATAAAAAAATATAATCGTTTATTACAAAACATTCTCGATTCTTCTGACAATGCAAACAAAGGACTTAATATTATGATGCACCTATCCACTTCAATTTAATAGGTAGGTAATTATTATGTAAAGAAAAGAAAGAACCGTCGAGAACTGCAATGCATAACTGCATAGCAATACATACTTATTAAAATGACGAGAAATTTTCAATAGCGTTATGAGGACCTAGATTTATTTTCACAAAACAGTTCCTGTAAGTGGAGTCCCTTATAGCAATGGGATAGAGTCTAGTTTACGGGTGTTATGGTGATAACGCGTAACGGGATGGGGTTTATGAACGCGGAATCGTCTAGAGGAGCGTAGACTGCTGCCGAACGTTCCCGAGCGTTCGCGCGGCTTCGAGAGAGCGAGTGCGGCGATGTCCGCGCTCGACCAGTTGTTACCGCAGCGTCTAGTTTGTGGATGGGGTTCACACTCCACAGTTAAAATCACCCCAATCGCTCTGAGTGCAGTTAGTGCAGACCATTCTGGAAACATGAGGTCGTACGATTCGTTAATTCCACCCATCAGCTTTCGAAAACACATTATTGAGACTGGATTAATAATGATGTAAGATAAGATTTATAGTTAGGTACATAGAGTGTTCATTGTTTAAAATTTTTAGGTAATCAATAGCACGATTAAATATTTATTAAAATGAGGTCCGATGATACTTCCTTGCACGACTCCATATAAAACGACATTTGAAGGACACACTATCTGGGGGCACGGCAGTGCCCCCACCAAGTCGAGCAAAAAAGCGGCACGGCCGTACCATCCTTTTCTCGAAGCAATTCAGGCCATTTTCGACCGCCTGTAACTTCGTTGTGGATAAAACTAGAAGGCTGAATTTTCATTAGCTATGCAGGAATTGTAAAGACACGGTATATTTAAAATTTCATTCAATTTGAACCAGTAGTTTAAGAATTATAACGGGTCAAAGTTACTTAATTTTGTCACTCACTGACTCACTGACTGACTCACTGACTGACTCACCGATCATCAAAACTCTAAGGCACTTCTAGCAGACCTAGAAGCTTCAAATTTGGAATATAAGTAGTGTTTGGTGTATGAATCAAGGAAAAACTAAAATATTTGGGGGCACGGTAGTGCAACCGCCAAGTCGAGTAAAATTTTTCATTTTCGGTCCAGTTTTCTAGATACATAACTGCTGTCTACAAAATACAAAAAGAAATGAGATCCCATCAAAAACAATACTTGTCAAAAAAACCAAGTCTCGCAACTCAGTTGTTCTACGGTAAAAAGTTGTGAGATCCATGTAATACCAAGTCCAGGCCAGGAAATCTTTAACGTTTTACATAAAATATTGACTTGGCCATCGCATGAAAACACGTGTAAATTAAATTATTTAGTGCGATGGCCAAGTCAATAATTTATGTAAAACGTTAAAGATTTCCTGGCCTGGACTTGGTATTACATGGATCTCACAACTTTTTACCGTAGAACAACTGAGTTGCGAGACTTGGTTTTTTTGACAAGTATTGTTTTTGATGGGTAAATCACTACACTACCAAGTAAAGAAAGGACAATATGAATGAATTGACGTTTAAAGCTTATTAATAATGATGAAAAATAAAATATGTAAATAACAGAAACAACGTCGTTGTCAAATGCCTTGTAGAAAACTTTTACTCAAACTGAAATAAAGTTCAAACATTTTTGGCAGATAAACTTAAAATCTTCATGCACCTAGAATTCTCCCCAAATTAGTCCAAATTTCAGATGCTGCTCGCACAAAGCGATTAAAATCGTACACGTGATTCCGCGCCATCACGTGGAACAAAAACGTGATTCTGTGACCGCGCCACGCGAACGAAGAACTTTCTTGTCTGCTGGCAATCCTGCCGTGTTGAAACGTTCGACGCATCGACGTAACTGATGTGACGTAGCGATCTACGCAATTTTGCAGCTTGTATTATCATTGCACGGAACGAAGTTATCGGCACGGGTATGCCCTAGATACGACTTGGATTCGAATTATTCATTAAGAAAAGCAATTAGAGTGCAAACAAATTGTAGGGAAATATTTTTAGGTTAAGGAACGTAAAGTTTTGGAATCATCGAGTGAGTTTTAGTAATAAAATCAATCAAGGTGAACTATTTTTGAAACTTACAATAATAACTCGACTTGTGTTTATTTGCGTACCAAAATAATAATAGGTGTCCACTTAAGGTACCTATTACAACAGGGTGATCATAAATGTTTTGTTGTAAGGCGTGTACCTACATAAGTGGTGTGTAGGTAAGATCATAATAGGTAAATCTATTATCATGAAACCTTATAAAGAGTCAAGTCAACAAAATAAGTAATAGATAACTTTAGTGTGTCTACTATTATCGTTGGATACTTATCTTGGAAGATGATTCAAACAATAGCTCTAGTTTACTCAATCTTATCGTCCTAGTTTTTTGCTCTCGGGACATTTAGNTTTGCCTCTCCTGAAAAGTCGTACTTTGTCCTTTACGACCTTTGAGCCCAGAGGTATCGATATAACAACCACGCGACTTAACCTTTAACTATGGACGTCGGGTCTCAGAGGCCCACCCCCCTTTCCGATTTCTCGGTTTAAACACCTTCCCGCCACGTGTTGCTCTCGACCATCTCAGTAGCTTCAGTTTTAACTGTGTTTGGACCGAGGAGGCATAAAATCGCGTCTTCCGGCACTTATTACGTGAGTAACCTTCCAAAATTTTGTCCGGGCCTGGGAGACCCGATGACTATAATTTCCATACAAACATACTTGTATGGATGTGACTTGTCAACTATAATTTTTTTATATTATATTATTATAATCTTAAGCAAATTGCTCTAGTTTAAGAATACTTAATGGCAGAAAGTATCTGAGTACATCAGCTATATTATTAGCCCAACTATCTAAAGAACATTTCAGAAGTAAGGTATTACTTGTAGACGATTCTTCTTTTGAGTTTAGATTCTTAGAATTCACCATTGCTGCAGATTCCGATTCTGAATGGTGTACATTTTGTCTAACAAAGCTCTCAAAGAAAGATAACACATGCCTGTAGAGATAATTTGTTTTTAGTGTTCTAGGCCACTGTGTATAATTTTAGTAACTTTAACCCTTGTCAAAATTTTTAATTTATGTCCTTCAGAATTTTTTTTTATGTTTTTATGTTAAATGGTTATTAATTAGCAAGGAAAAAAATATTACTTTCATTTATTAATAATCGACTGTAAACAAGGAGCCTATATGTGATGGCAAGTCAATTAACACTGAAAAATGTCTAAGTTTTATAAATTTGCAAAAAAATAATTAAAAGATGGTTAAAATTTGATTACATTTACCACTTTATTAATAGTTATTAGATATATATCAACTCTTTAATAAATTCAAATTAATTCAGATATGAAAATAAGAAGAATTTTAGATAGGGGTCTGTGAGACCCGACGTCCATGGGAGTGTGATTATTTTTTCACGTCCACTGCGGCATGTTTGTGTAAGACAAAAGTAGCTGTATTTGTTTGAGTAGTACCTATATAGGCCCTTTATTCAAATACATGCTACTTTTTTTCATCGGGATGTATTTAAGTTACTCTGCTTTTTAAATCCCGGTTGCAGCGCTGCACCCGCGCGGCAATTTGGGGTAGTTAATTATTATGGATTTGGACTTTATTGGATATGGCCCAATTACAATAATTTATCACCGGGGTAATAAATCAAGTGCATGAACGGGTTGATATTTTTAACTGTTCTTTGAGTGAATTCCAACTAGTTAAAATATTTTAAGTTACAATATTATTTAAATTAGGCTACTTATTTATAATTAAGATACAACTTTAGGAACCTGTCCTGTCATGATATTATTAGTATGAAATAAATAAATAAATAATAATAATACATTAAATTAAACAAAAACTTAATTATTAAACTTTTTATTGAAAATATTGAGCATTAATAATGCTCAAGTACAAATCAACTAATAATCAACAGTAAGTATTTCAACGAAAAATAATCAATATTTTACAGGTCACAAAATGTGCCAAGTTCCTCGATAGTCTGATTTGATTCAGGAACATTGGAATCAACACTCGTAGCTTGACTAACTACTGAATACTGTGGTAAAAATATCGACTCATTCCAATCATTTGTTCTATCTTGTTCAAGTCTTTCTGAACTAGAAGATGCAGAAATGACTGGTAATGACCGATTTGAGTTAGACGCTAGACAGTCAGTAGATTGCTGTATTACCGAATAATGGGGTAAAATGGATGGCGGGGTCACTACTGGTTGATTGAGAATTTCTCCCGCAACACGTAATACAGCAACTTTAAAATTTCTTTTCTGGGCTTCTGTCATGTTTTTCATATCAGGAAGGACACTTTTTAGAAAAGCTTCATCGGGGTCTAGGACGGCTGGCGCTGAGTTTTGGCGTTTCTTCCTTTCATCAAAATATTTAATAGCTGATCTATTAACCTCACTCAGGCTAGTAGCCTGTTTATTCTTTCGTCTGTAAAAATTTGACTGTATTGGAACACTTGTTTCTGGGGTAGATGGATTCGAATAATCACTAAGTCCTGGAATCCGATTAGCTTCCAATGTCTCGTCTCTTGTAAAAGACTCTTCATCAGCATCAGATATATCCGGAATTGAATTACTTTGTTCTTCAGTGACTTCACTTTCACGTTCTTTATCAGTTTCAACTGATTGGGATTGCACATTTCCGGTAGGAGTTCTGCTTCTTATGAATGTATCTAAAAAATGTAAATATTCTGAAAGGTAATATGGCTTTTTTGATTTAGCTGCAGAGCCCGATGGCGGCGGTTTGTTTATTTGTTTTACGTATCGGCCTCGAATGTTCTTCCACCTCTCTCTGCACGTTGCCACTGAAATAAAATACAAACATATATAATTATTGACTGTATAGGTAATGAATTAATGTGAAACTAACTGAAGGTATGAATTAAGGTGAAACTAGACCTATTTTTATCGACAAAAAAGAGGTAAAAAAATTTTTGAGACTTTTTTAAAAAAAAATATAGATATTTTTTTCTATCAATTACTTATTGTATAAAAAACGTAATAACTTTTAAACTAAGAGGTATATCCTAATAAAATAAAAACAGTAATAATGCTAAATAACAGGCGATACTAATAAAATACATAAAATACACAAAAAATGCCAAAAAAATTATAAAAATTGATAGTTTTTGAAAATACGATAGAAAATAATACAAAGTAATAAAAACCACCAGTTATAAGGGCATTTTTTGGAGAAATATATCAAATAACCAAAAAAACACGAATTTAAAAGCAGATTTTTTTCAAAAAGTATCATTTTTTTGTATTTGTTGGCCTTTTTTGTGTATTTTATGTATTTTTTTAGTATCGCCTGTTATTAAGCATTATTACTGTTTTTATTTTATCAGGATATACCGCTTAGTTTAAAAGTTATAACGTTTTCTTTACAATGAGTAATTGGAAGAAAAAAAATTCTATGTATATTTTTTTAAATCTCAAAAATTTTTGACCTCTTTTTTGTCGATAAAAATAGGTCTAGTTTCATCTATTTTCATATGTACACTTTAACGTGACTCACACTGTATACAGGGTGTTAGGTAAATGGGTATATGAGCCGACACTAGCCCATGTTAACATGGTCATATAAATGGTATGGTGAAGTCAGAAATTTGATATCATCATTTTAATTTTTTTAATTTTCATACAAAATACATTTTATAAAAGCCGATTTGTATGAAAATTAAAATGATTAAAATGAAGATATCAATTTTCTGACTTCACCATACCATTTATATGACCATGTTAACATGGGCTAGTGTCGGCTCATATACCTACCCATTTACCTAACACCCTGTATAGGAAAAATATTTTTTCTTACACCTATCTTTAGTTTTATTTTAAAACTATTTTGTAAGTTTTTTTTTTAATCATTGTCAAATAAAAGAAATGCTAATTGGAATGGAATTGGTCTTATTCGACAAGTCTATAACTCGAGTTTTATAATACCTAGGACTCTGCTTGTCTCTGCATAGGGTAGTGTAATATGTACCTAGCCCCACGCGATTTAAAGCGCATTTTCGCAAAAATGGTCGTTGGTCGCTTTCTGCTAAACGACACTCAATTTTTTAACACCATAAATATGAAATAATTGTAAGATTTAGAGTTCATTACAAAATAATTAAAATATTTTTCGTCTTTTTCAGATACTTTCGAACGGGCAGCTCACTCAGATCTTTGTCAGAATATTTTATTAGGGGTGAAACAACAGTTCGAAATATTGTACATGAAACTGCAAAGATTTTATGGGAAACGTTACAAAATCAATTTATGTTAAAACCTGATCAAAACAAGTGGAAAAATGTAGCCCAACGATATAACATACTTTGGAATTTACCAAACTGTATTGGTAGCATCGATGGTAAACATATCCGAATCCAGGCACCCCCCAACTCAGGTTCTGCATTTTATAATTACAAAGGCTATTTTTCAATGATTTTACTAGCTGTCGTGGACGCAGATGGTTTATTTTTAACAGTAGATGTCGGTGAATACGGTAGAAACAGCGACGGTCGTGCATTAAAGGAAAGTAACCTGATGAAATCATTTACAAATAGGTCTTTACAGTTGCCGGAAGATGTGGCACTACCGGGAGAAAATCAAACTTTTCCCTATTACTTTATTGGTGACGAAGCATTTCCACTGATGAGAAATTTGATGACGCCTTATCCAAGAGCACAATTAGATAATAATAAAAGGCAGTTCAATCACAGGCTGTCCAGGTCCCGAAAAATGGTAGAATGTGGTTTCGGAATGTTAGCCACTAAATTCAGATTATTGCAAACACCAATTTCGTGCCACCCGAACAAAGTAGACAATTTGGTACTCGCAATGTGTGTCTTGCATAATTTTATACGTATTTGCGAGGGAACTCTCTGTGAGCCTACAGAAACAAATACACTATTATCAGGTATACCAGAATCTCCTATTGTAAGGTACACAGCAAAAAATTTAAGAGATCACTTATGCACATACTTATGTTGCCGAGCCCCTATACGCGCCCAAAATATGTATTGTGTTAATTAATATTATAAATAAACAAGAATAAACACTTACCAGGTTCGTTTAATTGTTTCGCAATTTCGCCCCACACTTTGTCTTGTTTGTTCCTGTTGCTATAATCTGATCGTGTTTGATCATAAATACAAGGATTTAATTGAACAATTTCAATAAATTTTACGTTGGTTTCAAAATCGTCACGCATTTTTAAAACGTCTAAACACAGCTACGCACGAAACGAAATGACAAAATGGCGGTGGAGTCGAGGCTCGGGCACGATTGAGCGCGCCTCCCCGCCCCCGCCTCGACTTCACCTCGCCCGTGCCGCGACTCTAGTATATGAGCGCACTGCCATTTGTTTCTAAAGAAATCCTAGTTGCGGCGTGCCGCTTACGCGTCCGCGCCTCGACTTCGCCTCGACTGTTGATCGAGTGAGCGACCCGCCTTTAGAGCACGCCTACCTACCCAGGATTTCCAATTTCTAGGAATAATATTAACTGGATCAATGAGCAGGAAGTACATAATATTGTTACTAATATACGCAAATCTACATCATGTGCATCATTGTCACTGGGTTCAATCAATGTGCATTTGGTAAGTTATCCCCGTTAGTAAAATATCCCCAATGGTGTGCTCAAGTTTTCAAAACTTATTGGTCTGATTAGGTGGATTCGTTAGAGTATTCCGTGAAACAATAACAAATATGGGTTATTCCCTTTAGAAGAAACCAATTTGTCCATAACGTTACTAGGTAAGTAGGGTAATTGCGCCGGTTTTCCGTCCAGCTCCTGTTTTCGTCCATTTGACCGACTTGCCACAAACAAATACGGAAAATTAGAATACAAACCTAACTTTCCGTGCAAGTTTGGACTTGTTACAATCTATAATATCTAAAGTAACAGTTCTGCCTGCATGAAAATGTAATTTGACAAGTAATAACTCCAAAAAAATCTACAGAAGTTGCTGCTGCACACAGGTGAAAGGAAAACGTCGTCAAGTTAGAAAAAAAACGTGCCGGTAGGGAACTTTTATGGTATGTTTAATTACTGTTTTAGCTACTTTAAGTCATGTTTTTGGCACGTATGTCTAATTATTAGCATAATAAACACTATTTTAAGGGTTTATTAAAGTTTTTGTATAGAAATCTTAGATAATTAAGTGGACTAATACTAATATAGTAATTTTGCAAGATTTTGGTTTTCGTCCACGTGGACGGAAACCCTGACACCTAGTTAATATTTTTAATAATAATTTTACTTCAATGGACCTACAAAATACAATGTTTTTTCTTCCAATATGATCTTTATTGCTATTACATTAAACATTTTAGTTTACGTCCACTTTTTAACAGTGATAAACCCACAAAAACCGTTAAAAAGATGTGGACGAAAACAAAAAACAGCTTTAAACGTTGTTGTGTTTTCGTCCATGACGTCATGAGCAAGCACTGGGGTGGACGAAAACCAAAATTAGCTATTCCTGTAGATTAGTTTTCGTCCATTTGTCCTTCGACCTATTGNCCTAACAGTAACGAATAGTGGCTGACTGAGCACTAATGGAACGCGTCTGCTCGGTTTAGAGGTGTTTTTCAGCGAATCGTTTAGGCTTACCGGAGTACCAGCTGGCTGGCTGGCTGGATATAGCAGGTGCAGGTTCTGGTCATTAACTTTGAGTACCGTGTGTGCTGCGCTTGTCAGAATGATTTGTTGATTGCGAATACAAAATATTAGTCGAATTCGCCACGCCCTTTGATACGCACTTGGTCCAGAGAATCTAGATCTGAGATCTAATTTATTAAATAGTTTTCTTAGTCAATTTAGAAATTGGAAAAACAAAACTTTATATGATTTATTAAGACCGAGTCTTTACAGGATGTCTGACGACAAACTTCGACGGGACTCTACTCATTTAGAAAGTAATGAGAGTGAAAGTTAGTTAAAAGATTTTGTGAAAAACAGCCAAGTTTCATTTAAGTGTCATTTTGGTCTTGTAGGTGACAAAAATATAAAATCTCCACTCACCCGTAATAAGCCAGGATGTTATTACACAGATTTGAGAAAAAACTAGCCCTGCAATTTCGTACAATGAAGCTCAAAGTCGGCACATAAAAGCTTATGGAGGGCCATAGAATATTAGATTGTTCATTTTCGCGGACCTGTAAAAAAGGCTAAAATAGCTTGTAGCTCGCGTTTCGTGTTGTTGCAACTATTAAGTAACTATTACGAAGCACTTTCTTGATCGCCATTACTGAGAAATGAGATGTTTGAGATAATTACAAACTTGAAACTCTTTTGGACAGGAAATAAGGGTACAGTAAAACAAGAGTCCGTTTTAACTACATCTATGTTTATTACAGGATAATAAATGAATGTTGAATCATGAAGCGATAAATAAAGCAATTGGGGATACAATAGTTAGTCCAATTTTAATAGAAACATGGAGTTCAGGCCTGTGAAATTGCGTTCAGTCGTGTGATCCCATTAGTTTCTAGTAAACTGGGATATAGGTATGGATGGATAGTCTAAAAGGGTTAAGTTTTTTTCTACCTTTTCATACAACTTTTCTTTTGTGAAATTGAAACCCAGACGTGTGAAGGTAGAGTCTACTTCTATAATACTAATATTAGCATTTGTAGTGGTGATATTTTTTTACATAGCTAGGTTTAAGGAATTATAGTTGCCTTTCATGTCTTTATTTTTGTAACCTACATCGGAGAAGAATTTCACCCGCAGCGCACCAGATGGAAAATGATGATTAGGCTTGACAGCTTCACCCGGAATCCACAATTTTATTACAGAGTAACTGGTAATAGAACCTTATAGTTCAAATTACAGATAGATGTAGAAAATATCTTTGGTAAGACCAAAAGTCGGAGCTTGTTTCGGGCGATCACGGGGACAAATTGAATTAATTTCCGCTGCCTAAAATATTCGAAAATATTACAGGCCAGTTCCAAAGTCGCCGTGACCGGGTGTCTGGGGTGGCGCTTCTCCGTAATTCAAATAATTTCTGGGCCGCTTTGGAAATAGTTATACCTAAAATTGAAGTGGAAAAGTGCCATCATACCCTGTAATGAAACTGATAAATAACGACTAATTTGAATGTCCTTTTGAGCTGTTCTTTTTCATGTTTACTCAACGTTGGGGCTAATTAGGGATGGCGTAAACGTTGACATAATGGTGATGTTTAGAAATTGTTTCATCTCGTTTTCGTCCTTTGCGGTAAAATGTTCTTTTCATAAAAGGGGCTGAAATAGCTTGTGAAAGAATTTCCGTAGAAAGTACAGGTGCCAACCAACACATTGATATAGTACATTTCTGTGAAGAACAGCACCTATTCCAATGTATTAGGATGTCACAGTATTGGCATGTGCTGTCGTTGAACGCATACAATCCAAAACTTTTTCAGTTAATTAAGGTCCTATATTGAGTACTAATTTGGTGTTATTTGTTTCAGGTACTAAAACAAGAACTGTTGCAGATGACCAGTCCTATGTCCTAGGTCAGACAGGTGAAGGTGTATCTGACACCAGGGTTGATAGAGACCATACTATAATACTATTAGAATTAAAATAAATAATACAGTTGAATTGGATTCATACAGCTCTATAAGTAATTTTTGGCAATCTAAGTTAATCAAAACTTAGTCACGGCAATTAAAACTGTTAATAAGTGGTAACAATAAGTCAAGTTCGAATCAACTCCAATTTATTTGAATATTTAAATTGCTAGACTGCTATTAAGTTTTCGTTAGAAAGCATTCCATGATGTAATTAACAAATTCATTCATATTTCACTAACATTAATGAGAAACTTGCTAACTTTTGAATATTTTAACGTGGAGTCAAAACGTGTAGGGGTTGTAACGTGACGTAGTCACAAAGATCTGTATCTAAGATTAATTTTACGTCGAACTGTGTGTAGTCAGTAAAGTGATTGTAATAGTAACTTTATTGGGAAGGTTTTAGTGTTTACATTGCTACGAACATAGTGTTTTGTTGAAATTGATGAGTACCACGTTGGGCGCCAGTTTTAATCAAAATAGGTTAAATAGGTTTACAACAGAATTATCGTGCAATGGAAGACGCACACTTAGATATAATCTTTGCAGCGAAGAGCTTATAGTGCTTTAGTTTTTCAGAGGCTAGCATCCTAATTTCTAAGAAACTCTAACAAAAAAGAATGGCTTAGGTATTTTAGATAAGCTGTATTAATAAACTGGCCCAATTAAGCTACAGTGCCTAAATGAATTAATGTTAAGTTAGTATCTATTTAGTCGGCCGTTTGGTGTAGTGGTTCGAAACGGACGGATTCCGGAGGTAGCGGGTTCGATTCCCGCACAGTACAAACATTTGTGTGCATGAACATATTTGTTTGTATTGGACTGGGTGTTTTCTATGTATAATAAGTATGTATTTACAAAAAAAAAGTATTTAAGTACCTATGTTTATATCCGTTGTCTAGAACCCATAGTACAAGCTTTGCTTAGTTTGGGACTAGAAGCGCAGTGTAAAATGTCCAAGGATATTTATTATTATTAATATTATATAAGTTTGCTAGCTATTCCTCCGTCCTTATGCAATCCAAACTGGGGTTTTCCCGGAGTAAACCTTGCAATACGTCAAGATGGCGCCAGTGACGCCCCATAGCATTGCTCACGCTCGGAGTTGACGCCAGCGTGACGCCGGTTGAGTCGACACGTGCCTTGATCACATTGAAAGAGAGAAATAACAAACATTATTAGACAACATTCAAAACTCAACTTATTGCCATTAAAAAATAAAGAAAAGAAACACACTTAAGTGCCTCGTTTAACGAAATTGACTTAAAACTTAGATAGAATGGCAACATAATAATTACATACTACGTGCAATGAACAGGTTTCTTCTTTTACTATGCCTGTGTCGATGTCGTCTCTTCATAATGACATCAAAGTCTAGAGGGAAAATAAATGTTTGGCTAGCTAGGCTAATGGAATTTTCCCAATATCTTAGAGATAAAGACGAATAAGTAAATTTTGACATTTGTGGTAGAGTGATGTGCCGGCGAATGTACTACTAATTACCACCCCAGAAAATTCTGAAAGTTCCCAAAAGGTACGTCTTTTAATCATTGTCATTTGTCAGAGTTCATGCTTGTTTAACATGCTTACAATGTTCATAGAATTTTACGAATTGAGTTGTTGAGTTTGGAACTTGCCAGCAGTTCAAGTAATTGTTCTTCGGTTGACTCGCTTCGTCTCCGATGCGGCTAATAACTTTGGTTATTGCATAAATTATGTTAGAACGCAGTACACGTGTATGAACGGCTTAAATTAGATTTTAATGAGAACGTATATCGTTCTAAATTAAACGAGCTTATTCGGTTCACAGTAAATAAAATAATGATTGGACAAAAGCGTGCTGTTGATATTTCCAGTCTACGTTTTATTTTAGGACTG